CCTTGTTTGTTTGAGACTGATTTCCTTGTTTGTTTGAGACTGATTTCTTTTTATATCCTGAAGCCAGTGCATATGATGTGTTCATCAATAGGTTCTTACCCATTCTGGTTGTTGTGGGCAACCAAGAGTAATGGCAATAGCTTGTGTGTGTGTGTGTGTGTGTGTGTGTGTGTGCTTCTGGGGCTTTTATGACCAATAACTCACAGGATGGTTCCTAGAGCCTGGAATTGAGATGTTCACCTGGTCACCCATGTGTTCTGGGAGAAGCATTGTCCATCCATCTGGGGTAATTCTGTTCAAACTCCTTTAAAAAATTGACTCTTAAAAAATAGTGGGGCTTTGTGAGGCTTCTGCATACATGCTTAGTTAGGGTTAATTTCCTCCTTATCCCTTCTTTCCCTACCCACTTGTCACCATCCCCACTTAAACTTTTAGCTCCCAGCATACCTCTTCTTTACTATCACATGGGTTACACTATTCCCTTTTATTATATTTTTACTTCGGCTACAAGATCATAGGTTTCCCTTCTTCGTACACACTTCACCTTGGTTAACCTCCCCCTTACTCCCCACTCCCATCTAACTACTTGAACCTTTCTGTCCCTATGATTCCCTCTTTCCTTCATCACTTATATTCTACTATCACTTTTCCTAAATGCATCCCCTAGTAGCCTGTTTCTATTTTTCTGGCTTCCACATGTGTCTCAGACTAAATACATATGATGCGAGATTTTATGCTAGCATCCACATCTGAGAGAAGACATGCAATGCTCGTTTTGGTGAGGCCTGGGTGACTTCACTCAGTATAATTCTCCCAGTTCCACCCACTTAACTGAACATTTCATGACTTCATTTTTCTCTACAGCTGAGTAATATTTCTTGGTAAATACATACCACACTTTTCATTATCTTCTCACCAGCTGATGGGTGACTAAGTTGATTCTGTTTCATTGCTACTCTGAATAGAGTGACAATGAACGTGGTTATGAAGTATCCTGTAGCAAGATAAGCTTTGTAGTAATGTAATAAGAAAATGCTTTGGATATATGCCTGTGGGTGGTATAGCTGAATCATTTGGTCATCTTATTTCTAGTTCTTTGAAAAAATACAACTCAGATTTTCAAAATTAAGTATTCTCCCTCCTTTAATTTTATATATTGTGGGTATTTCTAACCACTAATCATCAGCTTAATTTTTCTCCAGAGAAACAATGCAGAAATCCAGGCGAATTGATCAATGGGAAAGTAGAAATTACGACTGATCTTTTCTTAGGTTCAACCATAGAGTTCAGCTGCTCAAAGGGGTAAGTGAGAATAAGACAAGTTGGAAGCAATGATTTTCTTTTAATTAACTCTCTAAGGAGTTAACACATTCATGCTTTAAGAATAAAATTGTAGTTTACGATTGTCCTTTCAGCATTTATCACGTAAATACAACCGAGTATACATACTTCCATCAACATCTTACTCTCTTTCACACATGGTTATCTGACTTTACACATTGTTTTGAACTTTGATCCCCCCCCCCCAAATGCATTGCTGTTTGCTGAGTGGGGTTTTGTGTTACCCAAACCCGTATCTTCATTTGCATCATATTTGGAGATGAGGCCTTTTGGGTGTGGATCCACAAACCCCAGAAAAAGATGTACCCTCTGCATCATTCTGGAACCCAGGAAGCCTCCAGAGCTCAGCCGCTGAGACACTAGCCTCCAGAGCCATGAGAAAAAAGTTTTTGTTAAAGAGCGTACCATGAAGATAAACAAGCACCCCAAGTCCTGCTCCCACTATTTGATCATTCCAAGTCTGTGTTGTGTTTATGAGTATCGTGGTAGCTTTCTATTGCGACAAAATACCTGTGATTAACAGCTTAAAAGAAGGAAAGATTTATTTTGTCCCATAACTCTAAAAGCTTCAGTTTATAGTCTTTGGGCACCATTGTCATGGTACCCTGGTTATGGGGGCAGAACTGCTCACCCTGTGGTATCTTGGAAGCAACAGGAGTGAAAGGGAGCTAGATTTTAACATATCCCCTCAAAGACATGGCACTGTAGACCTATATGCTTCCACTAGGCCCAGATTCTAAATTTTTCACATCTTCTCGTAGCTCTACCAGCCTGGACCACACCTTCAACAAAGGAGCTTTTGAGGAATATTCCACAACCCTACTACAGCTACTAGTACTGCAGTTCTTCAGTGTGTATCAGAGCTTTCACTGTTCATTCAATGATTCCTGAAAACAGGCTTCTATGTGCTTTCAGTCTCATGCTGTAACATACAACTCTCAGGTTCATTGTTCTCTAGACATGGCATGACATAGGCATACAGATATTTATAAAGGTTCACTTTCAGGGATGGGATGGTTTTCCAGTGGTTCTCACCCTGAGGGTCAAAACCCCTTGGAGATTGAATCACCCTTTCACAGGGTCACCTAAGACCTTCAGAAAACACAAATGTTTACATAATAAACCATAACTAGCAAAATTACAGTTATGAAGTAATGGCAAAAATAATTTTATGGTTGGGGTGTCACCATTATAGCTGTTAACCCTTGTCTTCAACACTCACTTTACCATCTCTTCCTGACTTTTGCCATCTTCTGACTCACTGTGTCTACAATTCTATCATTTCAACCATGTTGTATATATGGAACCACAGAGTGTGTAATATTTTGAGATTGCTTTTTTGGGGGGTGAGATAAGGTTTATCCATATAGCCCTGGCTGTCCTAAATCTCTCTTTCTAAATCAGGATTGCCTCCAACTCAAGAGATTCCCCTACCTCTGCCTCCTGACTGCTTGGATTAAAAGTGTATGCCACCACTGCCTAGCAGAGATTGCTTTTAATATATAGGGTAATTGTTTAGACATCCCCCATTATGACATTTTCCCTGTTTTAATGCTCAGTCACTGTTCCACAGTCTAGAATGTGCTTCACTATTTGACCATTGAGGGATACTTGAGCTGTTTCTGCCTTGTCTTCAATGAAAAGAGCTTTGTAACTACTCATACATATATTTTGAGGGACATTTGAACTTGGATAGTCTATCTCTTGAATGCAATTACTGGGTTAACAATTTAGTGTTTAACTTACAAAAGAATTTGCCCATATTCTAAGGCGAATGTGCCATTTTACATTCCCACTTGAAAGTGAATGAGTTACCTTTATTATCCATACCAGCATTTAGTGGTTTCATGGTGTACTTTATTGTTATAAAATCTGTGACATGTCATCAAACTTAAAACATCCTTCCTGTAGGGGGAGTGGTCATGAATCTGTTTTTTTCTGCTACCCCCAATGCATACTTCAGTAAAGGATTTCTTCTCTCATTTGCTAATGTGATTATTTGATGCTTCCCTTTTATGTTTAGAATTCTTTCCATACTCTACATTCTAGTCCATCGCAGAATATGTGAATTGCAAAGTTTCCTTCCAAACTTCAGGGTTTTTCCATCCTCATCACAAGATCTTTTACAAAGAAAAGGACTTTAATTTTGGTGAGATCCAGTTCAGCATGTTTTAGAAACATCGTTTTGGTATCAAATATAAATTATCCCCTCAGTCCTGCCTTCCCCAGTAGGTCCTAAGGCACAAGTTGCTTGTCTTTAGAGCCACATGGAGAACCCTGCACTGGAAACTGGGAGTACTTCTGGAACCATGTGGACAAAAATTATCATGTACCTCAGGGAGTGGACGTGCCACCAAGGGTGCAGAACAGAGCTCTGGCCCGCCACCTTCCAGGCCCAAAGGGGCACTTGTGGCTCTCCCTATGTGTTTCTAGTTTTCCCAAAACTTTTTATGGGTTTATATTATATATTTAAGTTTAGATGATGATTTCTGGAGCAGTTGGTGTTATGAAACCCCATCCTCAAAACTCAGGGATTTCAATGCGATGTCTTCATACATATGTTAACACTTATTCTACTAATATAAGATAAGGCCTGTAAAATAATACTGAATTTTCAAATGCATCTGGGTCTTCTTTAAGATTTTCCTATTCAATAATTCTAGTCTGTTTATATAAGTTTATTATCTGTTTATGTAAGTTTATAAGTCTGTTTATATAAGTTAATTTTTATTTCTATCTCATATTTTCATAATTCTTGTTTTTGTGTTCATTTTCTCCTCCCCTTACTCATACCCATCTTTCTGCTATTACATATATGTATATATATGTTTATGCTTAAATCTCAATTCAGAACATAAGAGAAAAACATGTGATAGAAAAGACAAGGCTGTGTACATGTTATTGTGGTGCTGACTTGGCGTTCTCCAGGCATAGATGATAGATGCAGAAGGAACAACTGGCTCATGGGGGGGGGGTTTCTAGTTTTAATTTTTGGGAAACTTCTTCCCTTGAGCTACTTTTCCATAGGAGCTGAACGAGTTGACACTCTCTCACCAGGATAATCTGAATCCCTATTTCTCCACTTCCTCGCTATTATTTGTTGTTGCTGGTTCCCTTGATAGCAGGCATTCTGATTGGGATGATATGGAATCTTAGTGTGTTTTAATCTATATTTCTCTGATGGATAAGGGTACTGAATATGCTTTCCACTAGCTAGTTATTATTTTACTTCATCCTTTGAAGACTAGCTCATTTGCCCATTTATAGATACAAATCCTCTATCAGTTGTACCATTGTCCAAAATTCTTTCCCATTCTACTTTTTCAGTGTGCCGATGGCTGCTGACAGTGCACGGAGGATCTTTACCTTCATGCAATCCTTTTTGTCAATTCTTGGGATTGTTTTCTAAACCATTGGAGTCATTTTGCAAAAAGCCTTTATCTATACTCCTGTCTTGAAGTATGTTTTATAAACCTGTTTGCCCTAGCAATTTAAGAGTTGCAGGTCTTCTATTTCTTGAATTTCATACAAAGTGAATAGGAATCTAGTTTCATTACTCTGAAAATGGGTACACAAATTCCCTAGTACCTTTTGTTGAAGAACCTGTCTTTTCTCCAATGCATTTTTCTTTGGTTTTTCCAACTCTGCCAAACATTGAGCAGCTGAAGCTGTGTAGGTTTATGTCTGTATTATTTCGTTCTGGTTTGTTGCTGTGGCTCGAAAGTCAGTTATTATGATTCCCCTAGCATTGCTCATTCTGCTTATGATTGCTTTAGCTACTTTGCCTTCTGTTTCCATATAAATGTTAGGATTTGCTTATCTTTCTGAAATGAATTGTGTTTTTAATGAGAATTGCATTATACTTAGTTACTTTTTCATTGCTGTGATGAGACACAATGACCAAGTTAATTGAAAGAAGAAAAAGTTAGGCACTGGAGAGATGGCTCAGAGGTGAAGAGCACTGGCTTTTCTTCCAAAGGTCCTGAGTTCAATTTTCGCAACCTCCTGGTGGCTCATAACTATCTATAATGAGATCTGGTTTCCTCTTCTGACCTCCTGACTCACATGCAGGCAGAATACTGTATAAATAATAAAGAAATTTTTAAAAAAGACGATTCTTTAAAAAAAGAAGAAAAAAGTTTATTGGGGGTTACAGTTTCAGGGGTTAGTTCATGTCTGGCATGGCAGGCGGTATGACAGTAGGCAGGCAGGCAGGCATGCTGTTGGAACACCAGCTGAGCTTACAGCTTGAGCCATAAATACCAGGCAGAAAGAACTAGCTGAGAATGGCATGCCCCCAGTGACCACCTCCTGTACCAGAGCCACACACCTAATCCTTCCCAAACAAATTCACCAACTGGGGATCAATAATTTAAACATATGAACCTATGTGTGCCATTGTCATTTAAACATACGTACTGGTAAATGATTACTTTTAATTCATTTATTTGTTGTATTAATTACAATTTACTCACTTGTAACCCCTCCCTCATCCCCTCTCTACCTCTTCATTTCCCAAACCCCTCCTACAGTCCACTGATAAGGAAGGCCCTCCTCCCCTTCCATGTGACCCTAGCCTATCAGGTCTCATTAGAACTGGTTGCATTGTCTTCCTCTGTGGACTTACCAGACTGCAACCCCCTGGGGGGGGGGGGTTAAAGAGTCAGCCACTGAGTTCATGTCAGAGATAGCCACTGTTCCTCTTACTAGGAAGCCCACTTGGAGACTGAGCTGCCACAGGCTACATCTATGCAGGGTTCTAGCTTATCTCCATGCATGGGCATTGGATGCAGTATCAGTCTCTGAAAAGACCCCTGGGCCCAGATATTTTGGTTCTTTTGCTCTACTTATAGAAATACTATCCCCTCCAGGCCTTTGCTCTCCTCCTTCTTTCATATTTCCTGCACTCTGCCCAAAGTTTGGCTATGAGTCTCAGCATCTGCTTTGATACCCTGCTGGGTAGAGTCTTTTAAAGGCCCTCTGTGGTAGGCTCCTGTCCTGTTCCCTGTTTTCTCCCTCTTCCAACTTCCATCCCATTTACCAGGGTTTCCTCCTTACTTAGCTTCTTTGGGTATATAGATTTTAGTATGTTTTAGTCTTTAGTGGATATTATGGATGATATCCACTTATAAGTCAGTATATATTATGTGTGTCTTTCTGCTTCTGGGATACCTCACTCAGAATGATCTTTTCTAGTCCCCACCATTTGCCTGCAAATTTCATGATTTCCTTGTTTTTAATTGCTGAGTAGTATTCCATTGTGTAAATGTACCACAATTTCTGTATCCATTCCCCAGTTGAGGTACATCTGGGTTGTTTCCAGATTCTGGCTATTACAAATAAAGCTGCTATGAACATGGTTGGGCAAATGTCCTTGTTGTATACTTGAGCATATTTTGGATATATGCTTAGGAGTGGTATAGCTGGATCTTAAGGTAGCACTATTCCTAATTTTCTGAGAAAGTGCCAAATTGATTTCCAAAGTGGTTGTACAAGTTTACATTCCCACCAGCAGTGGAGGAGAGTTCCCCTTTCTCCACATCCTCTCCAGCATGTGTTGTCACTTGAGTTTTTTTGTTTGTTTGTTTGTTTGTTTGTTTGTTTTTTATGGAGACTGAAAAATAAATGATTTAATGATCAGTGGTACATTGAGGAAATCTGGCAGAGTTTCAAAATCAAAAACTGAAATCATGATATACTAGAATCTGTGGTATATAATGAAGGCAGTTATAGAGGAAAAGTTTTATCTATAAATGGCTGCACTTTTAAAAGAGAAATCTCAAATTAATAACCTAATGTTGTGCCTCAAGCTCTTATCTTAAGCTCTTAGAATAATATGGACAAGAACACACAAAATTGGTAGGCAGAAAGAAATAAGGACCAGAGGAGACGTTAACTAAATAAAACAAAAAGAACAATACAAAGAATAAATGCAACCGAGTGGGTTCTTTGGAAAGATAAAATTGGCCAATTCTGAGTTTTTGATCTTAGCCATTCTGATGGGTGAAAGATGAAATCTCAGGGTCATTTTGATTTGCATTTCCCTCATGACTAAGGATGTTGAGCATTTCTTTAAACGTTTCTCTGCCATTTGATATTCCTCTGTTGAGAATTCTCTGTTCAGCTCTGTACCCCGTTTTTTAATTGGATTACTTGGTTTGTTGCTGTTAAACTAATTAAGTCCTTTATATATTCTGGATATTAGCCCTCTGTCAGATACAGGGTTGGTGAAGATCCTTTCCCACTCTGTAGGCAGGCGTTTTGTACTAATGACAGTGTTCTTTGCTTTACAGAAGATTTCGGTTTCATGAGTTCACATTTATTGATTGTTGATCTTAGAGCCTGTGCTGTTGGTGTTCTGTTCAGGAAGTAGTCTTCTGTGCCAATGAGTTCTAGGCTCTTCAGCATGGGAGATTTTTATATTGTTAGTTCACCCTCAATTTCTTATTTTCAGCATTTTAAAAATTCTATTCCATTGGTTTTTCTCTTCCTTAGGTAAGCTTATTCTTAGGATAAAATAATAGTGGTAATAATAAAAGATGATATGAATGGGATTTCTTTCCCGGTAAATTTATTTGTCTATAATAATAAAACCTCCTGGGTTTGTAATTTGATATTGTGTTCTGCTCTTTCCTGAAAGTCCTTGTTAGGCCTTAAAGTGTTCTGGTTAGAGTTGGTAGCATCCTTTAAGCATAAGATCATGTTGTGTGCAAACAGGGATACTTCTTTTTTTTTTTTAATTATATCACTTTTATTTCCTTGTCTTGAGTTGTTACTGTATCTAGGACTTTAAGCAGCATGTTGAATATTAATAGAGAGTTATTCTTTTGTCTTACACTTGGTTTTGAAAGAAATGCTTTTAGTTTTCTCCCATTTAGTACATTATCGGCTACTGACCTCCCGATATAATCTTTATTGTATTGAAACATGTTCTTTGTATTCCTAATTTCTTTGGGGTGTTTTATTATGAAAGTATGTCAAGACATTTTTTTCATCTTTTATGCATTCCATCTCATTTCTGTTCTTAAGTCCTTATCTGTAATCATATTTATTGATTTGTTTATATTGACTCAATCTTCATTCCTGAAATAAAACCAGTGTGGCCATGGTATAGAATATTCTTAATATTCTTGAATTTCATTTATGAATGTTTTGTTGAGAAAAATTTCACTTATGTCCAACAAAAGAATTGGTTACTAGATTCTTTTATGTTGTGTCTTTCTCTGGTTTCAGCATCCCATCTTTTTAATTTTACTGTATGGGATCACTTTTTAGTATCCATTTAATTTACTTGCTATTTTTTCCATATAACTTTTAAATTGGTTGCTTTCTTCTTCTAATCAATTACAATTTAAATGATCTGTAGAAAAATGTGGTGTGGTATTCAGTCTTCATAGTCAAGAGTTACATATATCATTTTCTGGCCTAATTTTTTGTTTGTATGTATCTATGTGTTTCAAAATATTTTAAAAGGATGTTCTTACATAAAGGGTATAGAACGCGTGTGGCATGAAAAAGAATAAGGAAAGGCTTCAATGTGGTGAAAGGACAAGGTAAAGTAGAAGTTTAGAGGAAGATAAAAAACTTTGAAAACCTTTGAAAGTGCTGACAGGAAGCCTATTGTAGAAGCTTCCTGAAATAGACACATGTGTAAAGAGAATTGAGATGGAATCGTTCTATAAGGTCACAATGCTTCTACTAGACACTACAAGCTAACAAGTAAAAATACCTGTGTTGGCTCTGTATCTTAGTTGTTATGAATAGTGGTGCAATAAACACTGATGTGAAAGAATGGCTGTGATATGTTGGCTTGAAGACTTTTGGGTGAATACCCAGTTATCCACAGTGTATTTGTGAGAGCTGAGATTTTGAAACTCGTGGAATGTGGAACATTTGCCCATCTCACTGACAGAGGGGCCCCTGGGTTAATTCTGAAGTGTGTTTGTGAAAGTGAATGGAGGGTTAGATGAACTTTGGGCTCTTGCAGTCATAGTAGGAAAGAAAGATTTTTTTTTTTAATTAACTGCAATTATCTTTATGCCTTTTTTTAGAAAAGAGTGGTTTTGATTGAGTTGTCAAGCGGCTACCCAAAAGATTTCTACTTTTGCATATATTAGGCCCTGGTTTCCATTTTCAGCACAACAATAAAATAATAAAGGAAGAAAGGAAAGAAGGAAGGAAGGAAGAGAGAGAGAAAAAATAAAGGAAGGAAAAAAGAAAGGGATAGAGAGAAGAGGAAAAAAAGAAGAAGATAAAAGAAGTCACAGATTGAATTTCTGGTGCATGGGCGTAGATTTTGGGTGATTCTGCTTCCACCTTTTGCTTTAGTATAATGAAGCTGGGAAGGATCAGGACCACGCACACATGCAGAGCAAACTCTGCTCTCAGGACAAAGGACGTTCTAATGTGTAGGAAAAGTTTCAAATGTTTGTTTTGAGAAAAGAGTCATTCTCTTCTGAAATTTCTAGTATTTTGTGTAATTGTTTTAAAACAACTATAGTTTCAAAATTTTATGTGTTTTTGTCAGTTGCATTATTCAACACTGAGAAAACTTAATACATTGTCATAAATGGAAGAAGGAAGTTTTAGAATGAGAACTAAGCTTCTGCTTGATATAATGAAATCGAATTTCAAGTTGGCTCAATAGCTATAAATGTAGTGGTCAACAGAACATCAATTGTTTTATTTTAAAATGATGAATAAGATTATGTTTGTTTAAAACTTGGTCCAATTGCTGTCAGAGTAAACTAAAGATCCCAGATAAACTTTTGACCTGTCTTTCAGCTATGTTCTGATTGGCTCAGCCACTAGTCGGTGTGAGATTCAAGGTAAAGGCGTTGACTGGAGTGATTCTCTTCCAGAATGTGTAAGTAAGTAAATATTTTTTTGACGTGATAATACGACACTCACACCATATTTATACTGTTTGTGTCTCTATTGCCTCCATTTGCACTTGACAGAATTTTAGATTTGCAATGATACCCTTTCTGATTAGTCCTTTCTCTCCCCTTACTCATCATAGTTGTCACGTGTGAGTCCCCTCCAGACATCAGCAATGGGAAGCACAGTGGTATAGAAGAAGACCTTTTCTCATATGGCTCAATAGTCACCTATAGCTGTAATCCCAGCTTCATACTCTCCGGCAACGCCTCCATTGTCTGTACTGTGGTAAACAAAACAGTGGGTGTTTGGAGCTCAAGACCCCCTACTTGTGAAAGTAAGTAACTATGAGGAAGTCTGTTTTCAACTGTTCTCATTTATTTATAAGAATAGGTGCATATACTGGGGTAGTGCCAGCAGTTGAATACAGACCAGTGATTGTAACAATGAAGTAATTCATTTCCCAGCCATCACACTACATTCATCAGAATGGTATAGACTATATGATAATAATCCACATTACAGTCCAGTGCATTTTATAGAAAAAGCTTTCTGTAAGATCTTTTTTACTGCATTGATGCCTTAGAAAACTTCTCACGAGAACTCTCATTTGCATGAGAAGCAGCATTATTTAAATGATCCTTGTTCCTTTATGGCAAAACTTCCACAATCAAACACAACAGAAGACTGCAGAAGGAGAGACCAGACAGAAGCTGAGGCTGGCAGTGTTGACAGTGTTGGGAAACATCAGGAGGAAGGGCCGGCATGTAACAGTGTTGCACAAACACATGTCTGTTCTCTCCAGATGAGCACCAACTGACAGAAAATGGAACTTCAGCATTCAACTTGGTGAGACCAGTGAGCTTTCCAGGCCCACTACCGAAAGGTAAATTACTGAGCAATGGTAAAGAGTTATTTATAGGGCACCAATGACTCCATAACAGCCGTGTTGATACGAAGTTCTGCCCCATTCTGCGTGGTGACATAATGGAAGCTGAATCATGCAATATTGTTTCAGTTTCTCATGGAAGCAGAATCCTGCAGTACTATTTTAAATTAATCTTTCACTTCCAATGCACTCTAATATATCCCCAAGATCATTTGCTGCTGGGGAGGAAACTCAGGAACAACAGCTGGCATCTCCACTGAGAGTCTTGTGGCCCTCTTTGAGCATGTCAGTAGTTCCATCACTACCGCTGTATCATTTGCTCTAGTTGCCATGGCTCCCATGGGGTGCGAAGTTCCAAGTGGTATTGTGTTATGCCGGTAGCCATACATCTTTGTATAGCACTCACTCAGAAGATGAACTGCAGATACTAAAGGGACAGTTTGAAGTGGGACAGAATACAGTTGGCAGACATTTGTCGCCATCACCCAAATTGAAGGGTTTCAGTTGTATCTCTGCAGTGGAATGGAGAGGAGTGAGGAGGGATAGATGGCAGAAGTGACAGGATCTGGTTTGGTGGGGTCTAGAAAATGGGGTAGCATTTGTTCTTTCCTGTGAGGTGCAGGTCTCTGATGCTGTCACTCCATGACCACCATGCCATCACTGGAGGCTTTTGATCTACAACCAAAACCATCCTGGAAATTAGACTACAATATTGGAAGGTTTTGGAGACTTGGAGTTTGGGCTTCAAGATTTAGATATTTCTAGGCTTAGGTTTTTGTTTGTTTTGTTTTTTAAATTGAGAAAATCAGCTTTATCAAAAGGACTAGCATGATGAACTCTCAGGTTCTCAAGGTACCTAGAGACTATGTAATTTTTAAATAGACCTGACATAAACATAAGATGAGCTGAGTTAAAATGTTATAGACTGGAGCCATGTGACCTTGGGATATCTTTAGTCCTTTGAAAGCCATCCATTACCCAGCCCTGTCTGACCTAACATCTGTGACCATTAGAATCTTAATATTCTTAGCAAACTAGTAGCTTTCACCAATTCAGAATTTAAGAACCTCACCAGATATTAGCTAAAAGCTGTAGCAGAGGTGTCCCACTGTGCCCTACCTTCCTGTGGCCCCTACCAATACATTCGATACCACACAGATTTGTGATTCTCTTTGTTCTGTCACTAATACAGTCTCCTGCAGTCACTGCCACAGTGGATAATGGTGTTTGGGGGAAGCCTGCATCTGTTTTCCCAGCACTTGCTCACTCACACTGGACTCCAGACAGAATCTGCCTTTCACTCCTATTAAAGTGAGACCTGGATTGACCACCTTTTCTGAAAATGTAACAACCCGCCACAGCTCAACTGCCATTTCTCTTTTACTACTTAGAATGTCTTTTCCTTTGCTTCTTTAGAAATCATCTGTCATAAGTAACAGGTTCCAAATGGAAACTTGGTCTCTGGATTCTGAATTTGAGTCTCTGGCTTCCTTAAGCTGACTAGATTGGTGTGCAGTAGTCAGATGGTGGGCTCTGGGGCAGAGACTGGCATCCAGATTTACGAATTAGGAAGAGATAGTCTGTTTACATCTGTGTAGTGTGTCAAACATTAGTCTGGGTGTCTGAGTGAGCAGGTAGATACAAACATAAGGACACCAGGGTCTGCAGGTCTATGAAGAGCTTTCAAGTTAATTTTTGAACTGAACTTGATAAGATGAGCTGGGGTAAATAGAATAATTAATGACAGAACAGATGCTGTGAAGGCTATATTTTTTATATTTTAAGGTAAGTCAGAGAAGGCTGTGGGGAAGGTGTCAGAGGGTCGGGGTAGGTGTTACTATAATTGGGCTTGTTACAGATGTGTCTAAAGTTAATTTTATTAAGCCATTTAAGAGTCCCAGTCACAAGAACGTAGTCACACAGAGGAAGGTAATAGACTGATGACTATTTTTTAAAAAGGCTAAAATATCTTTCCCAGGATAATTTTGGCTTTGGATCTGTAATGTTCTAACTCTTACAGATGTCTGTTACAGACATTCTGATTGCACTGGAATAGCTTGTTG